ATACCTGGGTAACCAGGAGGATTTTGTGGGAAAGATGGAGAGTGACTTCCAGAGCTGGGTCATAACACATATTGTTGTTTCTGCCTTTGTCTCCAAGTTTGACAGATCTGGAGAAAACTGCTGCTGTGCAGTGAAGTCACCCAGGCGACTCTGCAGTGGCTGCAGAGGAGCTGAGGTCCCATGGGCAGCCAGTACTCATTGCTCATCCCATGCACAAGCCACTTTATAATGGATCCTCAGCTTGGTCCAGCCTTAAGCTGAGCATAGCCCAGAGCGACACTCCAGGCCCATACTGAGTTCCTAACCCAAAGAAACAGGGGCACCTGTTCAGTAATGCTGGCTGCTGTGATTCACTGAGTGTGGGGGTGGCATGCGCTGCAGCATCAGATCACGGGGGTTTCTCTGGGCCCTTTCTGGCCTCTTCTGTGACCCTGCTACCATCTGATGAGTCTGTTGAAAACCAAAGCCCTCCTTTGGAAGAGTTCAAGTACACAAAAGTAAATTGGGGTGAAATTTCAAAGGGATCCGAAGGCTGTCCAAAGTAGAACCTTAAACCCATAGGCCCCAGTCCCCATGACCCTCTGCCCAACATGGCTGCAGCATCTGACTGGGAAGGGAACAGAGTCCCAGCCGCCAAATTGCAGAAGACACTTGCTTCTGCAGGCAGTGAGACAGTGCCTGCTGCTGCTGGGTCTCTGGCTTGGCAGGATTGGGTGTGCAAGGCCTTGACTCCTTCTTTTCCTCTTCTCTGTGCCCTTGGCAGGTTGGGCCCCACAAAGAAGGCCAGCAGTGTGCAGGCTGTGGCTGACAAATGGAGTGGTTTAGCTTTCAAAAGAACAGGATGAGAGAGCCAGCTTGAATATGTATGGGCGACTTCTCCAGCCAGGCCATGCCAGCTGCTGGTGCTGTCTTGGCTATGGCCTCTGCCTCCAGGAGGCCAGGGTCTGAGCAGTGTAGGGCTGAAGACCAGGCCTCCAGGCTGGCCCTGCCCTCAGAGCTCAACAGCCATCAGGCCTGGGGAGCTGACTCTTGCTCTGGCCCTGGCTTCTGGAGCCCTCACACAGTTGCTCTCCGTCTTCCACCGCGACCTCCCCTCTTTGGCTCTGAGTCTTGGCAGAGCCACCAGCCTGTGTCACAGAAGCCCAGAGCCAGCCTCTCCTGGTGTGGTGGTATGGCTGTCCTGAACGCGTGTCTCAGGAAATAGCTCCTCACACGGGAAGTGGAGGGTGGGAGCAAGGGCAGCCCTGCCCTGCCCCAGGAGGCCTGCTGCCCGCTTCATGTCGCTGCTCTCTTCTCCTAGCACTCCACTCCACCTCCTTCACCCCCACCTCCTCTATCTCCTTCTCTTCACCCACCTCTTATTTTATTTTTCCTACTTCATCTTCCTTCTCTCTTGTCTTCCCTTCCTCTTTCCTGCCACCTTTCTAATCTAGTCTTTTTTTCTCCCTTGCTCCTCCTCCTACTCTCTGTCCTTGTAATGATTAGAACCATGGTGGCAGCCTGCTGAGGTCCCTGAGGCCAGGTCTGCCACACATTGGCTGTGTGACCTGGGGCAAGTTACTTCCCTTTTCTGTGCTCCAGTTTCTGAGCTGTAATGGGATCCTGCCGGCATCTCCCCTGGCTGGTAGGTGCCTGGAGCCTTTGAGTGTCTCGGGAGCATCCCCTACTCATTGTTAGTGCTCTTCCCTGGCTCCCTTTCCTCTTCTCACTGTCCTCCGTCTGCCTCTCACCAGCTCTCCAAGTCTTGGGCTGCCTCTGTCTGCCAGGCGTCTTGTGCCCACTGGCCCGGCCCTGCTGCCCCATTCTCTCAGGCATGGCCAGGCTGCCCGGGAACAGTTGCACAGCCAGGTGGCAGGAGTGCTGTCCCTGCCCATCCATGCCGAGTGAGTACGCAGGGCTGCCTTGGTGCTCCCGGTGACAGCCTCTCTCAGGGCCTCATGCTGCTGGCTCTGGAGATCCCCTGCCATCCCTACGCGCGACTTAATGAAGGGCACTCTCAGGCCCTGGCTGGATCACCAGCCCCACAGGCCCCCTGGGGATCCAGCACTTTGCCAGTGCACAGCGAAGATTCAGTGGAGGGAAGGGAGTGAGGGGGACCATTAGCCAGGGCCTTGGAGTCCTTGCCCCAAGAAGACTCCTCTCATCCTCACAGCCACCCTGTGGAGCTGGGATTGCCACCTCACTGTTGAGATCGCAAACTGAGCCCAGCAGAGTGTAGTGCGGGAGATCTCCTGAGCGAGGGAAGGAAATGACAACTCTGCTGGTGTCACAGTGTTTTGAGAGTACTGGCCTCATTTTCTGGTTGAGAAGCCTGAGGCCCAGAGAAGGCAGGCAACACAGCCAAGGTCACAAGGCCGATGGGGGTGACTTCAAAGTCCCACTTTCTGCTCTGTTAGATGGCACTACCCTACCTGTCCTCCATGTCTAGTTGGGAGATGCCTTGGGACAGAGTGGAAAAAGGAAGGCAAGCTTTGACACCAGCCATCCTGCCGTTGCTGTCCAGGCTGGATCTAGTGCCCCTGTCCACCATCTGCAGAGACACCTGGGTATTGGCTTCCTCACTTTGTCCTGGATGCCAGGCTTGGCAAGGATCACTGTGCTCACACTTCTCTCCCTCCCCTCCCTTTCTATGAAGGCTTGCGCCACACACAATGAAGTAAGTGGGACACGCACTTCTTAGGTGTGCCGTTCAGTGAGTTTTCCTTTAGTGTATCCTTGCGTGACAACCATGTGGATCAAGACCTGGGGCCTTTCAGACACTCAGGGAGACACGATTCTGATTTTCATCAGTGTGAATTTTGCTTGTTCTGAAATTCTTATATGTGCAATTCATACAAATCCCATCACACTTACTGTTCCCATTTGACGGGTTAACAAAGTATAGACCACAGAGGGGAAGGTGGCATGCTTGCAGCCCAGAGACCAGTCCTCACAGGCATAGCTTTTATTTTATTTTATTTTTTTAATTGAGTTTATTGGTACATTTTAGGGATACAGTACAGTTACAGTCATTATTGATATCTTGTACCTTTACATGACATGACTTGGTTCTCATTTTTTCCCCTTGTCCCTGTGCTCTCTTCACCCTCCTCCCTCCCCCTTTACGAACACTTCATTTCCATTTCTTCATTTTCTCATATTTTTTTCCCTTCCTTTATTAGCTTTCCCCTACCCTTCCCACTTTCCCTACCCCTTTCTTCCTATTTCACATTGTCCATTATATCATTAGGATCTCATGTACTATTATAGTTTATTCACACCAGAGAAACTATTCAGTATTTATACATGTGTGACTTATTTATTTCACTTAGGAGTATATCCTCAATATGTATCCATTTTCCTGTGTATGAATCTAATTTCTCGTTCTTTATGGCTGAGTAATATTCCATTTAATAGAAAAACCACATCTCCTTTATCCAGTTTCCAACTGATGTGCAAATGGGCTGTTTCCAAGTTTTAGCTATTACAAACTGTGCCGCTATAAACATGGGTGTGCATAAATCACTGTGATATGATTCTTTTAGTTGTTTTGGAAAGATACCCAGCAGAGGGATGGCTGGGTCAGCTGGAGCCTCCAGTCCCAGCTCTTTGAGGTATCTCCATATTGATTTCCATAGTGGTTGCACCAGTCTGCACTCCCACCAACAATGGAGGAGGGTTCCTTTCTCCCCACAACCCCGCCAACATTTGTTATTGTGTGATTTCTTGATAGCAGCCTCACAGGCATAGCTTTTAGCACAGAGGTGAGGGTAATGGGCACTTCTTGTCCTCCTCAGCCACCTCATGCCAGTCTCAAAAGGGTCTTGGAAAAGTGTTTCTTAAGGTTTAACAGCTGGTGACAGGGTCAGAGCATTATCCTTAGGAAGCTGAAAACATGAATGTCACATGACTATGTCGTGAGCGTGGGCCACAGTCTTATTTATCTCAAAAGGGAAGCAGCAGAGCCCGGGTGGAGGAGGGTGGGATGGTTCAGTACGGGCAACACTGGTGAATATCACCCAGCCACAAAACCACAGAGGGGCTGTTGTTTTTACAGGACAGAAACCAGTCACCCTATGGGCATCCTCGATAAGTTAGCAGAGGAGAATCAGGGGACCCAGGCAGGTTCATTCACACAGGGCCTGGGCTGGGGGTTGAAAGGGCACAGGTTTTCTTTGATCTTTTTTCTTTCTGGTAGCTGTTGTCGTTCTCATTAGATTTCCTTCTGATGAAAGCCAGCTCCCGCACTTCCTAGGGTCCTGGAAGCCCAAGTACCCCCAGACCACACCCACTCCATTCACGCAAGGACCAGGGCAGAGGCTGTACCCACAAATGAAGTGGGAAGGGCAGACACAGACCAGACAGCAGCCGACGGGGATGGGGAGGCTTGCCCAGCTGGTTTTGTCAATAAGCAGGCAGGAGCACCACCTCTGCCACGTTACTTGAGAGGTGAATGAAGTGACCCATGGGTCCCACACAGGCTAGCACCTGTGAGGGCTCCTTTCGGGGGCTGATTGCGAGCCAGCTCCCTGGAGAAACAGCCCCCGGACAGACTGACACTAGGGGATTGGGAATTTAGGGGGAAACAGTCTTGTGCGTATTGTGTTCTTTTTGTTTCTGCAGTACTGAGGATCTACCCCGGGGCTTTTGCGCTAAACTACATACCCAACTTTTAAAAAAGGTTTTAAAAAATAAATTGCCCAGGCTGGGCTTGAACTCACAATCCTCCTGCTTCAGCCTCCCAGAGTGCTGCGGTTACTGGCAGCTCCACCACTTAGGGGTTGGAAACAATCTTATTAAAAACAAAAAACAAACAAATAGAAAAATACCCCACAAAAACTACAGTTTAAATTGATTATATTCAACTCACTTTCTTGCTTTATTTGTAGCCTCCTAACAATACTTATATATGTCCATTTCAGGACTATTTCTGGAAAGTTACACGGGATCAGGGATGGTGGGGCTCACCACGGGTTCCTTCTCTGTTCGGGCTGTTCATCACTGCTGGGGCCCTGTCCCAGGTCACACCTCGGCCTCCTCCCCGGGGACTGCGCGGGCCCCTGCGGTGCTGGCCTAGGTGCCGGGTGCTGCCAGGCGCCACCCCTCTTTCATGCCCACCCCGCTGACAGTGGAGAGGAACGGGGCGGAGCAGATGGACTGGGCGCCGGCCGGCTCAGGGTCCCTGGTCCGGTCCAGGTGGCTCGGGAACTCCGGGCCAGCTGCGGGGGCCGGGAAGGGGACCCCGTTTTCCATGACAATGGCAGAGGCGGTGAGTACAAAGGCGCAGCAATCAGCGTTTTATTGGTGGAGTTAATTATCTGCCCGGGGA